GGGACAAGGGGACAGGGTGGGAGGAGGTGGGGGACAAATTGGGATGTGGTGACAGGATGGGACAGGACAATGACAGCCTGGGATGGCACAGAGTGGGACAAAAAGGGATGGCACAGGACGGTCCCATGGATGGGGACAGGGTGGGACAAGGCAGGATGGCCACTGACACCCCGCGCTAGGGCCACCCCCTGCCTCTGGGGACACGCGGTGACAGTGGCCGTGTCCCCCCAGGCGCTCTGTCATCAAAGGGGTCCGGTTCACGTGTCCCCTGGCGCGACGCTGCCCTGTCACCAAGGCCAAGCGGCGACAGTGCCAGGCCTGTCGCCTCCAGAAGTGCCTCGACGTGGGCATGAGGAGGGACAGTGAGTGACACGGGGGGACAGGGGACACCCGGAGGGACACGGGGGACACCCGGGGGGACACGGGGACACCGGGGGGACACGGAGCTGAAGAGAGAGGGAGGACCGGGAGGGGACAAAGAGGGGATGGGGGGATGTAAGGGACACCTGGGGACATGGCACGGGGACAGCGGGGACAGGGACGGGGGAGCCGGGGAGAAGAGGGGGAGCACCTGGGTGGGACAAAAGGGACCCGAAGGGGACAAGGGGACATGGGACAGAGCGAAGCGGCCTGGGGAGGGGACAGCGAGGGACTGGGCASAGAGGTGGCAGCAGGGGGTGTGGCACAGAGGGGACAGCGGGGACGCGCTCGGGGAGGGACAGCGCGGGGCGCGGGTGTCCCTGATCGCCGTCCCCGCTGTCCCCGCTGTCCCCGGTCCCTGCGCCGGCGGTGACAGCGGGGCCGGGGTGGCAGTGATCATGTCGGAGGAGGTGCTGCGGCGGCGGCGGGAGCTGCGGGGACAGCGGGGACAGCCCGGGGGACAGCCCGGGGGACACTCCGGGGGACTGACGGCCGAGCAGCAGCAGCTCATCTCTCTCCTCATCGCCGCCCACCGCCGCACCTTCGACTCCAGCTTCTCCCAGTTCATGCGCTGCTGGGTGAGCTGGGGACACCCCTGTTCCTGTAAGGGACACCCCTGTCCCCACGGGGGACACCCCTTTCCCTGTGTTCGTCCCAACTGTCCTCTGCGGTGACCCAACTGTCCCCACGGTGCCCTGGCCATGCCCACAGGTGACCCTGCTCTCCTCATGGGTGACCCCACTGCCCCCATGGGTGTCCCCATGAGTGACCCAGCCAGTCCCCCTCGGTGACACAACTGTCCCCAACCGTGCCCCAACTGTCCCCATGGGTGCCCTGTCCCCAGAGATGCTTCAGCTGTCCCCACGTGTACCCAGAGTGTCCCTACGATGCCCTGACTGTCCCCACAGACGCTCTGACTGACCCCATGGGTGCCCTGATTGTCCTAATGGATGCCCCAACTGTCCCCACGGGTGCCCCAACTGTCCCTCTGTGCCCTAACTGTCCCCAAACACACCCCGACTGTCCCCTGCTGTCCCCGCCCTGACTCCCCGCTGTCCCCAGCCCCCCGAGCGCCTGTTGGTGCCCAGCCCGTCGTGCCCGGCTGTCGCCGCGGGAGTGTCGCCGTCGCCTGTCCCTGCCGCAGGAGTGTCGCCGTCGCCTGTCCCCACCGCGGGGGTGTCCCTGTCGCCTGTTCCCGCCGCGGGGGTGTCCCTGTCGCCTGTCCCCGCTGCAGGGGTGTCCCTGTCGCCTGTCCCCGCCGCGCTGTCCCCGTGTCCGTGCGAGGCCGCCCCGCCGAACGCGTTCTCGATGCTGCCGCAGATCGCCGACCTGAGCACGTTCATGATCCAGCAGGTGATCAACTTCGCCAAGGAAATCCCGGTGTTCAGGTGCGCGGGGYGGCGACAGGGACAATGCCACCACCACGGCGTCACGCTGCCACCYCCCTGACGTGTCCCCCGTGTCCCCTCCCGCCAGGRCTCTGCCGATGGACACGCAGATCTCGCTGCTCAAAGGGGCCACGCTGGGCATTTGCCAGATCCGCTTCAACACCGTCTTCAACGCCCGCACCAAGGCCTGGGAGTGCGGCCAGCGCTGCTACACCATCCGCGACGGGGCCCTGGGTACCGGGGGACACTTGGGGACACTCGGGGACACCCGGCTGGGGTGGGGGAGGGCTCTGCGGAGGGAGCTGGGCTGGCGGGATCCGTGGGGACGATGCGAGGAGGGGAGGTTTGACAGCACCGAGGGACCAGTCCTGTGTTGTCACAACCCCCAGGGTGGGGACACAGGGGATGGGACACGGAGGGACCTCAGGGGACAGAGGGACAGCGGCTGGACATGAGCCAGGTGTGCCCAG